CAGCTGTATAACTGCCCAAGTCAAGGCGTGATGACTCAGTGGTGTTCTTAAGATTGCACTTCGTTCAGCTTCTCCTCTCTCTTCTTGCCAGAGGCTATTAGAAAGGGAAAATGTAAATGGGAAAATAATATCTCACTGGATCCCAGCTGAAGTCTTGCAAAAGCATTTGAGGTCAACTGAGAAGGGGCAGGATTATATGAGGTTTTTTTTTTAAAGATTTTATTTATTTATTTGACAGAGAGAGACACAGCGAGAGAGGGAACACAAGCAGGGGGAGTGGGAGAGGGAGAAGCAGACTCCCCGCAGAGCGGGGAGCCCGATGCGGGACTCGATCCCAGGACCCTGGGATCATGACCTGAGCCGAAGGCAGTCGCTTAACCAACTGAGCCACCCAGGCGCCCGGATTATATGAGTTTTACAGAAGCTGTGTAGGCCTCACAGTGGAGGTGACTTCATCGTTCTATCTCTGACAGTAGAACTGGATTCAGGTTCTAGGACTCCTAGGATAACGCTGTATTTCCCGTTTCTGCAGTATGAAAATACTTGCATATTCTTCTAGATTACTGGGAATATATCTTCCCCCCCCCCCCAACCTGGGTTCTGCTATGAAGACTTACCCATTCTCACGACTCGGATCTCAACGCATCCATAAATGTGGAAGGTGAATTGGATGCTTATCGAGCATGTAGACACACTTCATCCTTAAACATCTCAATACCTTAGGCCTTCAGCTTCAACCTTTTCTTGGGCTTCAAGGCAAGCTGTCATAACCCCAATCTACTGACTAAAGAGAAACAGTGTGTGCAATTATTGTTGTTCTGGATTGTTCAATAGGACTTCAATAGAAGGCTCAAAAATTGTATTTGATGTTTCAGTGAAAAGATAGCATTTTTCTCCTATTGGTTGTACAGAAAGTGGTCTGTAAGCCACTTTCCAATCATGAAGGAGCCCATTACTGACAGACAGAGGACAGCAGGGCTGATGTGGAAACCGTTTGATCTTACTTTAAGTCATTGACTAAGTCGACTCTGAAATCCACCCTTTCTCTAACCCTGTTACTTGTACTGACAGCATTCTATGGGATATAAAATTTGGTTCTCCATTATGAAGTAATCTCCGTGGGGCAGTAGATTCTAGATAAACAGGTGTCCTTGTTCTTTTTTTGGTTGCTTGCACATTATCTCACAAACATTAACTGAAGTGTGTGTTATCCTGCTGTATTGCATCTTCCAAACCCTAGGGCGGCTCTGTCCCTGAGTTAGAGGGAAAGGGGCTGCCCAGTAGCTTGAGTGAAGCACCACACTGCCACTCCTCAGCCCTTCATGTTGTAACTAATACTGTGTGGGGGCACCAGGGGCAATGACCTTTCTCGCAGGCAAACAGCTGCAAGCTTAGACGCGTGAACCTTTACATTGTACACGACTTTCACCAAAGTAAGCTAGTGTGGCTCCCTTCAGTGTAGACGCAATGGAAAAGTGGGGCAGTTGTCACAAAAGAGCCTCCCTGCCAAGCTGGCCTGTAGGATTGTGTCCAGGGCTGTGACCAGGTGGGGAGGTGGGAGTGACTTTACAGGGAACACTAAAGAATAACATAGCTAGCCTGCCTACTATTGATGGGTGGTGTGTAGACAGTGTAGGACCTCCAATTCTCTGCACACCAGGGGTGGGGTCCTGGGTTGGAAGCTGGTTGACAGGTGTCCTACATCAAGTCCTGGCGGCTGTTAGTTCCAAAGTTAAGTGATCAGTTGCTCTTTTGTTTTTGTTAGAGTTGGTGATGGTTTTCTCTATGTAGAGATCCCGCCGAAGATTTTGTTTTCTCAGCAAAGAAAATATCATGTTGAATGAGGGAAAAAAAGATAAAATAAAAGGATATGGCAATAGATCCATTAAGTCTTTTCAATGGAACCCAAACAGCAATTTTTCTGGACTACAATATTTAAACAATTCTAAAAAGACTGTTATTAATATTTGCCCTTGACTATTCAGAATAGAATACCTCACCAGTTTATTCTCAGTTGATTTCTTGTACCCTTTTAACCTCTAAGAAATATTTTCAGATATCAGTCATCCTTTTCCCTTCATAGGTAGAATAAATTTAATATCAATGTTACCACTCTGCCCAGTGTCTTTGGAACACGATACCTTTGCTGTAGAAGGCCAAGAGATTCCTCGGTTTGAGCTTTCAGTGACAAAATTGTAATGGTAGGAAATTAGATGCTGGTTGTTCACTGTGAATGGAGGTCAGTGGAGTGACCCCTCCACCTGGGAGGGCTTCAGGGGGACACGACCTTGGTTTCCAGGATGGAGCAGATGGAGAGTCCCGGGCTTATCCACACCGAGGCAGGTGCCTTGATTAGTGTCGGTTCCCAGCCTTCACCAAGGTTCCACGCTCAGCCCTCTCACCCTTTCCAGGTCCTGAGGGCATTTCAGGACTCGGTTTAAAGGCCATCTACTCAGTGGGGCCGACTTGCCCTCCCCATCTGAGCCAGGCCACCCTGTTTCACTCTTTATAATCCCACGGCTTTCTCTTCCTGACAAGAATCACAACTTGAAATGCATTATTGTGGTAATGTGTGAGATTTTAATTCTGGGGATTAAGAGTGTTCCTGAAATAGCCTATATCCTAATGGTAGGGCAGCCCCAGGGCACTCCCCCACATGGCTTCTCAGACAGGTTAGAAGGCAAAGAAGAAACTGGCCCCCAAATCCCTTGAGCTACACTTGGAAATTTCTGGGGACCCCAAGTCCCACAGGGTGTTCTGAGAGCAGGTGTCCCCTTTGAGCACAACCTCAAGCTCTTCTGAGCTGATTTGCATTAGACAGAGCTCCAGGCTGCTCTCAGCATCCTTCAAGGCAGCTGGTCCGGCCCCCTGAGGAGCAGCCTCTAGTCCAGCTCTCAGAGATGGGGTTCAGGGCTCCCCTGCTGTGGATCCTGCTGCTCTGGGCTCCAAGTGAGAGGGGGGCATACGGAGAAATGGTGGGCAAACCTCACTGTGGCCACGATGCTTTTGGTGTCTCTGGGTTCTTGGTGGCTGGAATTCAAGCATTTGGTATAGGTTTCCAGTTGCCCAGTTACCTTTCGTCTTCTGGTTCCTCTGAGTGTTGTGCATGACTTTGACTACAGGGTCCTCAGTGCTGCGGGCCTCCACTGGGTTGCTCTCAGCACATCTGTTAAATTTGTTGTGTTTATCATTCCAGGCTCCACTGGGGACATTGTGCTGACCCAGTCTCCGGGCTCTCTGACCATGTTTCCAGGGCAGAGGGCCACCATCTCTTGCAAGGCCAGTCAGAAAGTCAGTGACATTTGGGGCATTACCCACTACATGACCTGGTATCCACAGAAATCAGGACAGCGTCCTAAAGTCCTGATTTATAGAGCATCCAGTCGAGAGTCTGGGGTCCCAGCCAGGTTCAGTGGCGGTGGGTCTGGGACTGATTTCAGCCTCACAGTTGATCCCGCGGAGGCCGGCGACGCTGCCAACTATTACTGCCTGCAGGGTAAGGAGGCTCCTCCCACAGTGCTCTGGGTCTAAACAAAAACCTCCCCAGGCGACTGCTCAGTCCTTTCAATGAAAAAACAGCCTTCAACTGCCAGAACTGTTAGCTATAGATCTTCCAGATATAGGCTGATCTTCTCACATTAATTTGGATTTTCAACCTCACCTATTTGCTTGAGCTCACACAAAGAAGATCTCTGTAGTTGTTCAGCAATCTAAGAATTGTGATGTAGTTATTTTTCATTTTTTGATGAAGATTTTTCTTTGTGTCTTTTTTTCCCCAGATAGAGGTCCTCAGTTCTAGGTATATTTACTTGTCCTTTACTTCTTGTCCAATTTTCATGTCCTTTCTCTAAGATACCACAGGCATAGCCAGGGTTTTTCTTGTCTTCTTTTTCTTTTTCTATTGCTTGGTCATTGTAGGGAGTGGTCTCCAGAAGCTTGAGTGTGCATGGTGACAAGGATGGAAGGGTCAGTTTTCACATCCCCCTCCACCCCTACCTTGGCCTCCCTTGGGCTTCTATATCCCCCCCAGGGGGAGCTGGGGAAACTGACAAATAGTGCTCTGTAACATTTCCATCTGTTCAGATTCCCCTTAGTTTCTAAGTTTGTAACACTATCTCAGCACATAGGAAACTTTCTTGTTGTATTCATTTCTTATTGTTCCATAACAAATTACTACTAACTTAGTGGCTAAAACAACACACACTGATCATCACACAGTTTCTAGAAGTCAGGTGTCTGTGCAGAGTTTAGCTGGGTTCTCTTCTTGGGGTCTCCCAGGATGAAACCAAGGTGTTGGCCAGACTCCATTCTCATCTGGAGAATTGAAGAATCTGTTTCTAAGGCCATTCAGGTTGTGGGAAGAATTCTTTTCTTTGTGACTATCTGACTAAGAGTCCTGGCCTTTGGTGGCTACAGGCTGGAGGCCACCCTGCGGTCCCACAGGCCATCCAAAATTCCTGTCACGTTGGCTGCCTCTTAATCAAACCAACAGTGGAATTCATCAACAACAGGGAGGACCCAGTTCCTCTTTAAGGGTTTTGTCCTTATTTAGTGAGGTCCACCCAGGATAATCTTCATTTTGATTAATTCTGAATCAATTGATCTGGGACCTTAACCACATTTGCAAAATCCTTTCACTTCTGGGAGATAGTTTGGGTTAGAAGCAAAGCACAGGCCCTGCCCTCTGTCAAGGGGCATGAACCGTAGTTGTAGGCATCACGGGGCCACTGGAAGTTGTCTGCTACAACTGTCATACTACTTAAGTTTTTTATTTCCTTTCAATTTCTCCCTCCCAAATTCTCCCTGTGCTAAGGAAAAAGTGATTTTAAACTTCATATGGAAATGTAAATTACCTAGAGTAACCAAAATCACTTTGCACAAGAAAACTGAAGTTTGGGGTGGCGGAGGCTCCTGCAGCTGTCGCTGGTGGTCGGGTGGGGAGCACTTCTGCGCCCCTCGGACCTGACCCTTTCAGCGCTCTGCTCCCGCTCCAGCCTACCTCGCTCTTCGGCACCATGACCACCACCACCACCTTCAAGGGAGTCGATCCCAACAGCAGGAATAGCTCCGGGTTTTGCGGCCTCCAGGCGGTGGATCCAATTTTTCATTAGGCTTTGATGAACCAGCAGAACAGCCTGTGAGGAGGAACAAAATGGCCTCTAGCATCTTTGGGACACCTGAGGAAAATCCTCCTTCATGGGCCAAGTTGGCAGGTGCCAAGTCTAGTGGTGGCAGAGAGGATTGTGAGTCATCTGGACCCCAGAGAAGGAACTCTTCTGAAGCAAATGCTGGAGACTTCTTAGATCTGAAGGGAGAAGGCGACATTCATGAAAACATGGACACAGACTTGCAGGCCAGCCTGGGGCAGAGTGAGGAGAAGCCCGTGCCCGCTGCCCCTGTGCCCAGCCCAGTGGCTCCGGCCCCAGTGCCATCCCGAAGAAACCCCCCTGGTGGCAAGTCCAGCCTCGTCCTGGGTTAGCTCCGATTCTCTTGAACTCTGTCGTTTTGTTTGTTTGTTTTCTCCATGCTTGTGAACTGCACAACTTGAGCCTGACTGTACATCTTTTGGATTTGTTTCATTAAAAAAGAAGCACTTAAAAAAAAAAAAAAAAGAAAAGAAAACTGAAGTTTGGAGGCTTCCAATCCCATTTCGAAACATACTATATATCAACTATGGGACAATCGCAAACTATAATTGTCAGGACTGTGTGGTGTGGCATCAGATCAGTGGCATAAGGGGCATATAGTTAATAGGTAGACAGCCTAGAAATAGATCCTTACATTTATGATCAATTGTATTTTGACAATGATACCTAGGTAATTAGGTGGGGAAAGGACAGACTTTTCTATTTGCACCCACATGCAAGAAGATGAAAAAAGACACACAAAAAAAGACACAAAAAAATAACTCGAATTCAAAAACAAACAAACAACAACTTTTCTATTTGCTATTTGCTATATATAATAACTCGAATTCAAAAACAAACAAACAAATAACAACAACAACAAAATAACTTGAATTGGATCAGAGACCTATCTGAGCTGAAATTATAAAAACTTTTAGGAGAAAATAGAGGGGAAAAACATTGTATCCTTGGATTCACTGAAGATTTCTTAGTTACAAAACCAAAAGCTCAATTTATTAAAAAAAAAATTGGACTTGACCAAAATTCAGAGCTTTGGTGTTTCAAAACACACCGTATAATAAAAAGACAAACCACAGACTTGGAGGTAATATTTGTAAATAATTTACCTGATAAATATTCAGAATGTATAAAGAGCTCTTCTACCTTAATAAGAACTCTTCTAACTTAGTAAGACAGAATACCTACCAGGACAACAACCCAGCAAAAAAAATGAACAAATAATTTCAGTAGACATTTCACCAAAGAGGATATGTGAAAGGTCATTAATAGCACATGAATAGATGCTTAAGTTTTTCAATCATTAGGGAGATGCAGGTTAAATCCAAAATGTGATACCATTTCATACCCACCATGATGGCTGTATTAAAAAATAAAAGACAGAAAACTATAAAATACTCATGAAAGAAATTGAGGAAGACACAAAGAAATGGAAAAACGTTCCATGCTCATGGATTGGAAGAACAAATATTGTGAAGATGTCAATGCTACCTAGAGCAATCTACACATTCAATGCAATCCCCATCAAAATACCATCCACTTTTTTCAAAGAAATGGAACAAATAATCCTAAAATTTGTATGGAACCAGAAAAGACCCCGCATAGCCAGAGGAATGTTGAAAAAGAAAAGCAAAGCCGGCAGCATCACAATTCCGGACTTCCAGCTCTATTACAAAGCTGTCATCATCAAGACAGCATGGTACTGGCACAAAAACAGACACATAGATCAATGGAACAGAATAGAGAGCCCAGAAATGGACCCTCAACTCTATGGTCAACTCATCTTTGACAAAGCAGGAAAGAATGTCCAATGGAACAAAGACAGTCTCTTCAACAAATGGTGTTGGGAAAATTGGATAGCCACATGCAGAAGAATGAAACTGGACCATTTCCTTACACCACACACAAAAATAGACTCCAAATGGTTGAAAGACCTCAATGTGAGACAGGAGTCCATCCAAATCCTAAAGGAGAACACAGGCAGCAACCTCTTTGACCTCAGCCGAAGCAACTTCTTCCTAGAAACATCGCCAAAGGCAAGGGAAGCAAGGGCAAAAATGAACTATTGGGACTTCATCAAGATAAAAACTTTTGCAAAGCAAAGGAAACAGTCAACAAAACCAAAAGACAACCGACAGAATGGGAGAAGATATTTGCAAATGACATATCAGATAAAGGGCTAGTATCCAAAATCTATAAAGAACTCATCAAACTCAACACCCAAAGAACAAAGAATCCAATGAAGAAATGGGCAGAAGACATGAACAGACATTTTTCCAAAGAAGACATCCAAATGGCCAACAGACACATGAAAAAGTGCTCAATATCGCTCGGCATCAGGGAAATCCAAATCAAAACCTCAATGAGATACCACCTCACACCAGTCAGAATGGCTAAAATTAACAAGTCAGGAAACGACAGATGTTGGCGGGGATGCGGAGAAAGGGGAACCCTCCTACACTGTTGGTGGGAATGCAAGCTGGTGCAGCCACTCTGGAAAACTGTATGGAGGTTCCTCAAAAAGTTGAAAATAGAGCTACCATATGATCCAGCAATTGCACTACTGGGTATTTACCCCAAAGATACAAAAGTAGGGATCCGAAGGGGTACATGCACCCCAATGTTTATAGCAGCAATGTCCACAATAGCCAAACTGTGGAAAGAGCCAAGATGTCCATCGACAGATGAATGGATAAAGAAGATGTGGTATATATATACAATGGAATATTATGCAGCCATCAAAAGGAATGAGATCGTGCCATTTGCAACGATGTGGATGGAACTGGAGGGTATTATGTTAAGTGAAATAAGTCAAACAGAGAAAGACATGTATCATATGATCTCACTGATACGAGGAATTCTTAATTGCAGGAAACAAACTGAGGGTTGCTGGAGTGGGGGGTGGCGTGGGAGGGATGGGGTGACTGGGTGATAGACACTGGGGAGGGTATGTGCTCTGGTAAGCGCTGTGAATTGTGCAAGACTGTTGAATCTCAGATCTGTACCTCTGAAACAAATAATGCAATATATGTTAAGAAAAAAAAAGAAGAAGAAGGTAGCGGGAGGGGAAGAATGAAGTGGGGGAAATTGGAGGGGTAGACGAACCATGAGAGACGATGGACTCTGAAAAACTAACAGGGTTCTAGAGGGGAGGGGGATGGGAAGATGGGTTAGTCTGGTGGTGGGTATTGAGGAGGGCACATTCTGCATGGAGCACTGGGTGTTATGCACAAACAATGAATCATGGAACACTTCATCTAAAACTAATGATGTAATGTATGGGGATTAACATAAGAATAAAAAATAAATAAAAAAAAATAAAAGACAATAACAAGTGTTGGTGAGGATATGGAGAAGCAGGATCCCTCATCCCCTGCTACAATGGATGTCAAATGGTGCAGCCACTGTAGAAAAAAGTTTCTTGAAAATCTGAACATTGATTTATCATATGGCTTGGCAATTGTACCTTTAAGAATCTGTCTTAGAGAAACCAAAATAAATGGCCACATGAAGGCTTGTAGGCAAATGTACCCAGCAGCCTAATTCATAATCGACCCAAAGCAGGAACAGCACAAATATCCATCAACCTTTAAATGGATAAATGAAACCTGATCTGTCCATTCAGTGAAATACTAACTAGCAGTAAAATCTTGACTCTCTCTAAAATACTAACTAGCAAAAAAATCTTGACTCTCTCTAATCACTTCCTCAGTCTTCTTCACAGCTTTGCCACTGAAGGATGTATCAAGAATATTTCAATTTTTCCGGGGCGCCTGGGTGGCTCAGTCGGTTAAGCGGCTGCCTTCGGCTCAGGTCATGATCCCAGGGTCCTGGGATCGAGTTCCGCATCAGGCTCCCTACTCAGTGGGGAGCCTGCTTCTCCCTCTCCCACTCCCCCTGCTTGTGTTCCCTCTCTCGCTGTGTCTCTCTCTGTCAAGTGAATAAATAAAATCTTTAAAAAAAAAAAATTAAAAAAAAAAAAAGAATATTTCAATTTTTCCATCATCTGAACCTTAAGTGTATGAAGCTTCTTTCATTCAGTTGCATGTTAGATTCATCTATGCTGTTGGGCCTTGTTGTAGTTCATTAATTTTCATTGCTGTGCAGGATTTTATTGTATGAATAATATCACTATTTGGTCTCTTTTCTGATGAAATGGAAACAAAATCTTAAACATTAAAGAAAATTCTCTCTTTTTGAATGAACAAGAATAAGAATGGTTAATGTCTCAACATAAACAAGGGGAATCAGAGACAATGAGACATCTTCAAAATGATAAGAAAAAGAAGCCACATACCTAGAGTTCACTTCTCAGCAAAGCATCCCTCCAGATTAATGTAAACTCAAGACCATTTGGGAATTCCGTATCTCTGGACATGGGGACTTTATTCACCAATACCCTAAGAAATTTTTATTACTAATCTTTAAGAATCAATCAACAACAATGGGAGAATTGTCTCAGGAGAGAAGCAATGAGGAACTTACTCATCTTTGGGGAGCGGGGAAGATGGTTCCCTCCATGTTTCCTCATGGTCCCTTCATGATATCTCTTCACTGTACACAGGGATAGATCCAATTTTGTTATGAGACTAAAGAATATCTTTCAACACCTTGCCTTGAACAAATCCTTGCATAAAATCTCTTGCTTCTAGTATTCTCATTACTTTTTTTAAGTTAAATTCAATTAATTAACATATAGTGTATTATTAGTTTCAGAGGTAGAGCTCAGTGACTCATCACTTGTATATAATACCTAGTGCTCATTACATCTCATGCCCATCACCTTGTTACCCAGTCTCCCCACCCCCACCCCCAGCAACCCTCAGTTTGTTTCCTGTGGTTAAGAGTCTCTATGGTTTGTCTCCCTCTCTGATTATGTCTTGTTTTATTTATCCCTCCCTTCCTCTATGCTCCTCTGTTTTGTTTCTTAAATTCCACATCATGAGTGAAATCATATGATAATTGTCTTTCTCTGCTTGACTTATTTCACTTAGCATAATCCCCCCCCAGTTCCATCCATGTCAATGCAAATAGTGGGTATTCATCTTTTCTGATGCCTGAGTAATATTCCATTGTATATATGAACCTCATCTTCTTTATCCATTCATCTGTTGAAGAGCATCTCAGCTCCTTCCACAGTTTGGCTATCGTGGACATGGCTGCTATAAACATTGGGGTGCATGTGCCCCTTCTTTTCACTACGTCTGTATCTTTGGGGTAAATACCTAGTAGGGCAATTGCTGGGTTGTAGGGTAGCTCTATTTTTAACATCTTGAGGAACCTGCATACTGTTTTCCAGAGTGGCTGTATCCAGCTTGCATTCCCACCAATAGTGTTAAGAGGGTTCCTCTTTCTCCACATCCTCGCCAACACTTGTTGTTTCCTGTCCTGTCAATTTTTGCCATTCTGACTGGTATAAGGTGGTATCTCATTGTGGTTTTGATGGCTTGTGATGTTGAACATTTTTTCATGTGTCTGTTAGGCCCAGGATCCTTTTAAAACCAAAATGAGTTCGAGGGCTACATAAATTGTTGTGCTAATGACCCAATAGCTGAGTGTCCTTCAGTTCCAGACAGAAAGGTCTATTTTGTTGTGCCTTGCTAGTGGGTTCTCTTCTCTGGGTGGAACCAGTGCCTGTCTTTTGTGGAAACGCACACTGAAGATATTTGGATCCCAGGTCACACACTGGGAGGCTAGTTTTCCCAGTGCCTTGAGGGTTCAGAGGTGTTTGAAGAGAATTCAGTGGATGGGCAAGGTCTCAGTTGAGCAACTGCCAAGGAAAGAGGAGACAGATCTGTGGGGTTGGGATTTTCTGATAAAAATTAGGTGACTCGTTCCTTAACAGATTCTTATTGCTAAGGAAATTCACTTTACATAACTGGTCCATGGAGCTTTCCTTGCTAACAAGATCAAATTAAGCCTGTCTGGACAGGGACACATAGGTGATACTCTGAACCAGGTGCATGCACACTTTGTAAAAGCTCCGAGAACCTTCTTTCTCCCATACCCACTTAATTTAGACAAAGAAGTGGATGGACCATGTGGACTTACAAGCCAGGACCTCCTCACCTACGCTCAGATGATTTGCATCTCTCTTGCTCTGAAACCACAAAATTCACAGAATTGCTTTTAAGAGGTGTTCTCAGGAGAAATGTGTGTTTATCCTATGAAAGAACTCAGCCAACAACAGATTTTCAGGTTCCAGACCTTATTCCTGTGATTGAGAGAAAATGTCTTCTGAGGGGACCTGGCAAAAAATTCTGGAACTTTCTTGTTAGGGATTGTGCATTCACAGATGAGGCCATCACTTGTTCAGGTCAAACTGGAAGTACCTGGAGAATCTGGGAGAGGAGGTTCCTCTTAATATAGTCACCATTAACTCTCTGCATGAACTTGGGATATTTATGACCCTTCCTGAGCCTCAGCTTCCTCCTGGTAGAATTGTACAAATGAACATGGTGTTCTCCACTTCTCTTTAATATCTGACACTTCATGAGGGGAGGAAAAAGAGCGTCTAAGAGCCCATGTAATTCTATAGGACCTGAATGAAGTATGGTTTTAAACCTCACAAGCTCCTTTTTCAGGTGGCAAAAGGAACAGAGAAAGCTGTTGAAGATGTATCTCCTTGTCTCTGGAGGAGGCAGCTGTTCCCCATCACTGAATGAGGAAGGACTCATGCTGGTTGGTTTTATTGTAGATTTGCCTCAGTTGTCAGAGGATGTTAGTTTGGGTTCAATAAATAGAAAGCTAGTGTGTAATTTGTCTGGGTTTCAGACAGTCTTGGTGAAACTATTTGATATGTTCTCCTGGAATCAGAGTTTGTGAATAGAGAATGTGATACTCTTTTTTTTTTTTTTTTTAAGATTTATTTATTTATTTGAAAGGGAGAGACAGAGTGAGGCGGAGGGACAGAGAGCCCCTATGTGGGGCTGGATCTCATGACCCTGAGATCATGACCCTGAGATCACAACCCTGAGATCATGACCTGAGCCAAACCAAGAGTCGATGCTTAACAGACTGGGCCACCGAGGCACCCTGACAATGCGATACTCTTATACTTTGATCTATAGACTTTATCAGCGCATATAGTCCAAATCCACACTGCTTCGGTCCACACTGGAGACACACAGAGGTCTGTTCCCTGACCAGCCCAAATGTAGCTTCTCTCTGATTAAAAAGGGAGACTTCCTCCTTGCATGAGTCTGAGATCAAGCCATCCAGCAGAATGAGCTTCCCCAACTGCAGGTCACTGTAGTGGATTCCTGAGCTCGGAGAGGCAGCTGTGATCGAAGTTAGTCATCCTTCCTAAATTAATTGTATTCACTAGAGGATACACCCAGTAAGTGAAACTTGGGTCAAACAAGACATGAAAAGGGAAATTAGGTATTTTTTAAACCAAAAGAAAACATGGCATATCAAAATTTGTGGGTTGCCAAGAAGCAGTGAGTCCTCAGCCTCATCCATTCCCTTGAGTTCCCCCAACATCTTCCTCTTACACTGACTGAGAGGATCTGTTGTGCCTGCTCCCTAGACAAACAACACTTGTGGGCACCTGGGCCATGACACGCAGGGAGGTTTCTGCTCGGGGCTGAACCACTGTGGGAGGAACATGTATACTTTGCTGGCAATAATAAACTCCAAAATCCTCAGCCTCCAACCTGCTGATTCTCAGGGTGAAATCTGTCCCTGATCCGCTACCACTGAACCTGTCTGGAACACCAGAGAAACGTTTGGAAGCCTCATAGATCAGGGGCTGTGGAGACTGGCCTGGCTTCCGCAGGTACCAATTCAAATAGGATTTTCCATCACTATGTAGGAGGCTCTGACTGGCCCTGCAGGAGATGGAGGCCGGCTCTCCAGGGGTGACAGGCAGGGACAGTGGGGTCTGCGTCATCACGACCTCCCCACTGGATCCTAAAGTAATGAGAGAAATGTAAGATTACATGCAAACATTATGAGCCATTTTCAAAATTTTACTTGGTAATTATTTCAGGCTAAATAACTTTTTTGTGACTTTTTTTTAAAAAAGGTTTTGTTTATTTGAAAGAGAGAGAGCATGAATGAGGGGCAGGGGCAGAGGGAGAGGGAGAAGCAGACTCTCCTCTGAGCAGGGAGTCTGACATGGGGCTCAATCCCAGGACCCTGAGATCATGACCTGAGCCAAAGGCAGAAGCCTAACTGACTAAGCCACACAGGTGCACCACTTTTTTAATTAATATCCCCAAATACCCAATTTCAATAAAGAACCTAAGATTCGCAACATACAAAGGGGTGTCTAAAAGTCACCTACCTCAACCCCTTTTCTCTGTGTCATAGCCTTTACCACAACATGGATCTTTGTTCCTTCTGAAATGTTCCTTACTCTCCCAGATCTAAACATCACATGCCCCTTCCCAGAGGGTAAGACGTAAGTCTCTAGCACTTGGACAAAATAGACTTGGGGAGCAGGGGTGTCTGCAATGTTGACCCTCCCTGACCCACTCTGCTTTCTCATCCCCCCTCTGTCCTTACCTGGGATCCAGAGCATCAGCAGCCCCAGAAGCTGACAAGGGAATTTCATTTTGAGAAATTTATCTGATGAGTCCTGACTAAGATTAGAGCTGATCTTTGATCTCAGATGCAAAGGTTTTATCTGAGACTTTGTATCTTCCTCCTCCCTTAGGGAACAATATGCAAATCTCCTGGTGGCTACAGCCACTGGGTAAGAGCCAATGGGAGAGTTGGGGGCTCCCATGTAAGCAAAGTAATAGAAAATGTCTGTGTTTGAAGGAAAACTGAGAGAGCTAAAACCTATGCTGCCTAAAGAGTAAAGGCACACAGTTAAATGTTTCCTTCTTGTCATCAACCAGTTTTCTAGTTCTCTAGAACTTTCCCAGACACATTTATATTTCTTAATAAGGCTGAGTTCCATAAATATTTGGTGAATCTTAATCTTTTTTCATGTTTTTTTTTTTAAAGATTTTATTTTATTTATTTGACAGAGAGAACGCGAGAGAGGGAACACAGCAGGGGGAGTGGGAGAGGGAGAAGCAGGCTTCCCCCTGAGCAGGGAGCCCGATGCGGGGCTTGATCCCAGGACCCCGGGATCACGACCTGAGCCGAAGGCAGACGCCCAACAACTGAGCCACCCAGGCGCCCCTTTTCATGTTTATTTAAAAGAATCTAGGTTTGTCCTTTTTTTTAAATTGTGGTAAAACAAATGCAGAGTAAAGGGCAGAAATCTTAATTGTGCATCTGAGTAAATTTTATATAAACTCACTCTCCAGGTCAAAGTATAGAATATTTCAAATTCTCCAGATGCCTCTCATTCCAGTCCATATTGACTCCCCCTAGCCCAACCATGGTAACTATTATTTTGACATCTTTCAACTTCATATAATTGCAGCAAGCATCCTTTTCTTTCTTTTTTTTTTTTTGTTTTTATCATATTTATTTATTTATTTATTATGTTCAGTTAGCCACTGTATAGGACATCATTAGTTTTTGATGTAGTGTCCAGTGATTGATTAGTTGCGTATAACATCCTTTTGTTTCTATCTTCTTTCTTGTTCCTTTACTATTTTTGAGTGTTTCTTTCCTTCTTGTAGATTGGAGTTAGCTCCTTATGTCACTTCCTTGAGTGTGAAAGATTTCCTCTTGTGATTCTTGTAGGTGTATCTGCCAGTAATTACGTCTCCTCATTTTTGCTTATCGGGATATTTTTACTTTTCCTTTATTTCTGAAGGATAGTTTTGTGGTTATAAAACTCTTTGTTGACTTCTCTTTTCTCTTTTAGCAGTTTAAATCTGTCCCTGTTCGTAGTCTCCACCAATCCTGATGAAAAATTAGCCAATGTATTATTGTTTCCCTTAAAAAATGAGTTGTTTTTTTTTTTCTTGGTGCTTTCAAGATTTTCTCTTTGTCTTTGGTCATTTTTACTCTACTGTTTATAATTGTGAACCTCATTGTGTTTCTCTTGAACAGATTTCATTGAGTTTCTTTGATCTACAGATTAATATGTTCCATTATGTGTGAAGTTTTTTCCCATTATTCTGCCAATATTTTTTTTAAAGATTTTATTTATTTGAGAGAGAGAGAGACAGAGCATAAGCAGGGGAAGGGGCAGAGGGAGAGAGAGAAGCAGACTCCTTGATAAGCAGGGAGCTGAATGCAGATGAGGGGCTGGATCCCAGGACCTCAGGATCAGGACCTGAGCTGAAGGTAGCTGCTTAACCTACTGAGCCACCCAGGCATTCCTATTCTGCCAATATTTTAATATTTTATGTTTAAAAGCTGGATTTGCTGAAGGATCTTGCTCCAAACCACAATCCAACTGAAGTCCATTTTTTCCTGGCAGTAACCTGCTAGTTTTTGTCACCATCCTTATGTTGGTAAGGGACAGATCTTGGTAACTGATTCGGGACAGTAGTGAGCTTTCCCAGGTAAAAAGACACAGACTCTCCTGTTCTTACTTGAAGCTCTAGTTCTTTCTCAAGAATAAGTACTTCTCCATTTATTTTGTTCCTTTGGCAATTTCCTAAAATAAAGTACTGAAATAGTTTTTGATCATTTTTCCAGCCATGTACAGTGCTTGTTTGTTTGTTTTTGCAGAAATGAGTCACTAAACTGTTCATTATTGTGTAATTGGAAGTGACTTCTGATGGATTTAAGTGAGCATCATAGCCATCCTGAAAGGGAATGAGGGTGTGGACCAACTACGGTTGCCCCTTGAACAATACGGGGGTTAATGGTGCCAACCCCCACCCCATGCAGTTGAAAATCCGTGTCTCACTTTAGACTACCCCCAGATGTTACTCCTAATAGCCTACTGTTGAGCAGGAGCCTTACCAATAACATAGACAGGAGATTAGCACTAAATTTTTATGTTACATGTATTATAACAATAAAGAAAGCTAGAGAAAAGAAGATGTGATGAAGAAAATCGTAAGAGGAAATACACTATAATACTGGACTGTGTTTATAAAAAAAAAAATCCATGTATAAGTGGACCCACGTAGGCAAACCCATGCTATTCAAGGGTTAACTGTAACTAATGAAGTAATTTTTAAATAGAGAACTTGGACCCCAAGCCCTCAAATTAAAGAGAAATGGGATTCTTAACAGACATCGAACTCCGGTCACTTGGAGTTCTTATTCTCAGAAGTAGGCTCTAGCCATTTTTGGACACCTTGTGTATATTCCAGGATGGGGCAAATAAGTCAACACACTGTAGACATTGGGAACCCAGGTTGGCGCCCCCAGACACTGGAATCACAACTAGAGAATGAAGCAAAAATAGAGTGACGCTTGTGGAAGTCTTTAGTAAGCACTTATGCTCTTTTCATATTTTTACTTATTTTTATTTCTATGCCATAATTTATTTTGAAGTAATTTTAGACTTACCTAAAGTTTCAAATATAATAGTTCCATCTACTCTTGCCCTATCTTTCCCTAATGGTACCACAGTACATAACCATAGCATAATTCTCAAAACCCCAAATTAATGATAATACTATGCTATTAACAAATCTAAAAGTTATATTTGGATTTTACTGATTTTTCCACTAATGCAGGGGAGGGCTGTTCTTGGTGCCATGGGCAACAGGTGGCCGATCATTCCTCAGGGGTCAGCCCTGCTGAGAGCTGAGGGGCAGAGAGTTAGCATGGCGCCATCTGTGATCCGCCTCAACCACATTGTTCTGGACACGGCTTATCCGTTGAAAGGGACTCTGGGGCTTGGGACCAGACCCTGAGGGTCTTCCTGACCTCCTTCAAGGGCTCCGCACCCTTTTCACCGCACCCCAGCTTGGTTCTTCTCTGAGAGAAGCAGCTGCTCTGACTGAGCAGAAGGGCTGACCCCACACGGGAGGGTTGTGTTTAGGGCCGTTACACTGCGCAGGGTCCCAGGGAATGTGCTGTTCACCCAAGTGTGTGCGGGGTCTCCCATCTCCATGCTGGTGACTGTGAGTGTGGCATCTGTCCCTGACCCACTGCCACTGAATGGTCTGGGCCGCTAGGAGCCCTGTGGGACACCCTGCAGGTCAGTGGTTGAGGAGATTGGTGCGGCTTCTGCGGGGACCAGCGCAGGTAGATGTGTCCAAGGAACAAGGATGAGACTGAGACTGGCTTGCAGGCGATGGAGACACCCCCTCCCTCGGCCGCAGACAAGACAGCTAGAGCCTGAGTAGCACAGCTGCCCGTGGGAAATTGGAAGAAGAAAGAGACTTATCATGGAAATGCAAATATGAAGTAATAATTTTGAAGTAAAGAAATGATGTACCAAAATAATATTTTTCTCACAAATATTAGATATTTTATGGATTGTATTAAAAGATTTGAACATCTGTCCCCAGAATCAATGAACAAAATATCATAGTTAGTCTTTGTTCTTAATTATCTCATGCACTGGATGAGGATAGCCATCACTGTTTCTTCCTGAATATCACTTATTTGTAAAACTATCCCCTACCATGATGCAAAGCACCAGGGGCCGGAAGGTCTGTCCTGGAAACACCTAGACCGGCAAACCGTATGAAAGCATTGTCTTCAGCCTGGATGAACGGGAGCAGAATAAAGATTCATACTTGTATCTTAGAGGCTATCAAGGATCACACGTGTGTCTCTCTGTAAAGGACTCCACGGTGCAGGCCGTAGTGTAAACCTCACCTGAAGGATCCTGCAACAGAAGCCTGGAGACAGTCCAATCATGGGCTCGGGTTGGGAAGAGTCAAGGACTGGGGATAAATACATGAGACTAAGCTGACTTTGTGAAGTTTCCAATATGATCTTAAGGATCAGTACGAGAAGGGAAAAGAGTCACCAGGTTGTGATTTTTTAATTGGGTGCGGAGAGATGTCTCCTCTGCCCATTTTTCTTTCCTGAATGTAGTTATCATTATAAATCTAACCAAATATACTGTTCCTCATTGTTTTAGTCACTGGCAGTCTGGGTCCACAGTTCTGAGAAGCTGAGATGCCAGACCGCGCCAATTCTGTGTCTGCATTCAGGAGGTGACTGCCAACGTGAGCAAATGTGAGTCTGACCTAAAGGTCTCCAAAGCCATGACCACCAGCCTGGGGAGCAGCTGCAGGTTTTGCACTTGTCATGCTTGCCAAGGGGAGTGCCTTGATCTGTGTCCTCCTGATGCTCATCACTGACTATACCACACTCCAGAGATCTAGTCTTCCTTCCCTTTATTGGACAAAATTTCCCACTCACTATTCCCCCTCATGTGTGGTTTCTTTGTGTCAATTCTCCAGACTTACATTGTGCTTGAAACACTTTGTCATAGAAGGAACTGTTTTTAGTTCCAGTTACCCTTTGATTAGATCATTCTGAGTCTTTCTAAATATGAATTGCCATGGGACCATAGAGTCAGCTGGATAATGGGCAGTAGGAGGAACTATAAAATTATTGCTACATTAAAACGGTAAACTGAAATGGAATGAAAAAGTGATGGTGATACTGATGATGATGATGATGACGATGATGACAATGATGACGATGATGATGACGATGATGACGATGACAATGACGACGATGATGACGATGATGACGACGATGACGACGACGATGACGATG